AAAAAAAAAAAAAAAAAAAAACACATCTTAGTAAAACCAATACCTTCTCAGCTTCGCATCGAAGCTAAAAAATGAGTTGCTGGGTACAATTAATAAAAAGGTTGCGTGCCATCTACCGTATTGTTAATGGTATTAATTATAAATGATGATTAACTACACCACGGGATCGCACCACTAACGTGATTCATTACAACCTCCAAACACTGTAAAAAAAAATGTTAATAACATACGAAATACTAATTCAAAAGTTATCGACCTATTTAATATATGAGGTTTTTTTCTTATTAGCTATATTAAGGGCTATAGCGATCTTCTTCAAAGGAGAGTTTTCTTAATCATTGATACTTTGGTCGCCGGAGAGATGGGAGTCGACTCCAATAACCGAACTTATCCATCACTCGGTAAAAATATATGTACCTAAAAAAACCAGAAGAGTGCCCGAAGGACCCGTGAAAGGAAGTGAAAGGTCTGGGCAATCTCGTCCGCCAACTGGTGAGCGTGGCGGTGCAGCTCTTGTAAGAGTAGGGAATGGGTTTTATTGTTTTTGTTATTGTTATAGTCATTGTCCATGCCGAAACAAATGAAAAAAAAAACAATATATATAAATATCACAATCCATCAGTCAATCTGAGGTTTTACTTTTTTTTCACCTTTTCTTACATGAGACATGAATTTTCTGTGTAAGAAATTGGTCTGTTAGAAACACACGTTTTCTAGGCGTTCCGTTAATCTGATGGTGCTCCACCACTTTGGCGTAAAATCCGTGTAAAAATGTTTGCTTGATTTTGATAGGTGGTGTTTTTTATAATAAAAAAAGAGTGACTGGACTTGGTTACTAACACGCGAAGTCCCTTCTTTAATTCCTACGTTCTATTGGTTTAGCGCGCGGTGGTATTCTCCAGGCTTCGGTTTTCCACCAGTTCGTCGAGTCGATCATTTTCTTTGCTGTTGTCGCTTAAAATTCCACGCGCGTATCCGAAACATGCAAAAAATTTTCGCATTAGCGTTTGTTGTCGTTGCGCCCACGATACGGATAGGTCCATTTACGGATACACTCAGTCGCCACTCATAAGTTGGTTTTGCCCTTGGGTTTTTTAGGGTACGTCTATTACGTCTATACTAATTACTTTCCAAGGCTGTCGCGGTTGGCAGCTGAATATTGGTTCTTCTGGGCGTCTGTTTAAGGGCTTAGTGCAAATATGACATGATTCCTCCACGTACATACGAACTAAATTCTTTATGCCCTTATAGTAGAGTCGTTGTTTTACCGTTAAATAGGTCTTTTAGGAATAACATGCAGTCAGTCACTCGTCGTGGTAATGTCAAATTACGCGTTGTGATTTGTCAGTAGATACGAAGATCGTTGTGTACGCGATCATACATATAAGCAAAAGTCAGTTAAATAAAAAAAAATATTCTTCATTTTTAGTGCATTTTTGCTCATACGCAGTGGAGGGATGTGTATTTAATTTTTGTTTGATGGAAAAAAGAGGCGGGTCGTTATTTTGCCACTCTTTCGCTCCTGTAAACGGCAGAATATGTCATTTGTTTCGGAGACGGCGTAAATATAATCAAGAGTGGTGGAGTAGGGGCGGCGGATGTGTTGTGGTGCCTCTATTAAATTGTCGTTAAGGTCGTCTTCGTCGACATCGACGAAAATGCCCTCCGTCGGGTTACGGGTCTGGACGGTAACTTTGTTGAGTCGCCTGTAGTTGAAACACAAGCGAGAAAAGACGTCTTTTTTCTTGGTCAGGACGACTGGGGTTCTATGAGTCCCTAGGTTTCTATATCTCTACCATTTCGTCCGACGCCTCTTGTTTGTGTAGTTGGGAAGTTGTAATTTTACGAGGGTGTATTCCTCTGCTGGGATCTCTTCCCTCATTGTGTCCAAAATATTTTCTGGGCACCCGACCCGCGCTATTTTCATATAATAAGGGGACTTGCGTTTTCTCGGGCGCATGATTCGTTTTTTTAAAGACCACATCGTGGTACCCTTCATTGTAGGTGTAGGTGAGGGTATGGTGATTGGTTTTGAATGGGCTACAGCTTGTCCTGCATTGTGTACGAGAGCCTGTAGTCGAGGTTGTTGGTCCGTTGTGTGGGTGAGGTGAGGTCACCAAAAATGTTCGTTATTATGTCCGAGAGGAACGCGTTCGTTTCGTTCCGGCAGCGAGCGAGTTGGTCGTACGCGATGCGCGTTGCGTTGTGTGCTGATGTGGTGATAGTAGCGGTGATGGTGAAAATTGTGACTTTGAGCCAGGAGAACGGACTAATTTCTCCGTGGCTGATGTTCGTTTCCCGAAACTGTCGGCCTACTAGGACAACTGCTGTGCCAGTGATCGGCTCCGCAATGTCAGGGAGGTCGTCCGCCAACTGCCGGGTGGCCTGTGGTTGGGGAGGTGCTGGAAGTGGGACGCACGGCCTTATGTTGACTTCTAAATAATTAACTTTTTTTTCACTCGTCATAATTAAATATTATGTTTATGAACTGCAAAATTACTAAATTCAATTAATTTTGATATTATTTTCAAAGAAAAAAAACCTAGTTAAACAGTTATTTATTTATTTATTTAATCGTCAAAACTTACTGAATACTAACTGTACATTACCTTATAGTATAAGAGTACACTTTTACTTTTTTTTCATTTCAGTTAATAACTCATAAGAAATGTAGAGTTCAAATTTCACTGTTAATACTTACTTTTTATTTTTTGATTAGCTAAAATAATATGTATAAATAATTTAAAAGTACCATAAACTACAATTTATATGGTATAAAAAAAAAGTATGTACCTGAGGTTACTGTTTTAAAAAAATGTAATTTGAATGAAATAATATAATAATTAAGGAATATTTATAAAACACCATAAGTAAAAGATTAACGATACGTTAGTATAACTCCGTAAATGTATAAAACATCTATTTACCGTGTAAATGTCAAGTGTTCGTACGTGTAAAAAATGATTGACGGTGTGTGAATCCAATATCTTAATTGTTGAATATTAGATAAACAACTGAGTTAGCCATTTTTATAACCATCACACTATTATTTATCTCTATTGAGAAAAAGAAAAAATTCTAATTTTATTTTTATTTTTTCAAAATTTTGAAATATACATGTATTAGCTTTTTTTTTTTTACAAATAAAATTTTAAGAGCTGATAAGAACTTTAAAACAAGTATTTATTGAGCTAAAAGCATTTTATGACATAAGTATATGCACGTATAACTGCCATACATATATTCCACCTGCGTTCCATACCCATTACTTCTATTAAGTTCTTGTAACTTGTACAAGTGAAATACTTCACTAAAGTTCTTATCAACCAATCAAATTTTTTTGTAAGAAAAAAGCTATTTTGAAATTTCAAAAAAAAAGTTTAATTTTATCTTGAACTAAAGAAGGCAAATGTTATTTAAAAAATAATAGTTGAATGAAATGTTATTGGATTTGATAGTTTTTCATGATTCATATTGTACAGAATGATTTATGAAGCAAATTACATCTCCTTTTTTGTTGAATAAAGATTTTTGCATAAAAATATAATAATTCAATTTTAATTAATTTGTATAAATCATTTTAATTGTAAAGTTTATTGCAAGAAAAATATATTTCTAATTTTAGCACAAAAATAATAATAGGTTCCCATTAAACTGTCGAATGTTACCGCTAAATTCTATCCTTAGAAATAATTTTTTTTTGAAATAACCTTTACATTTATAATTTTTTAGGGTAATTAATTAAATTTTAATTTATGCATTTTTATGAAAAAATCATTTCTTAACAAATAAATGACGGGGTAGTTTGCTTAATAAATCACACTCTATATTAGTTAAATTATTTACATAACTTGATATATTAAAAGTCCAATATGATGTATATAATCATTGTGGTAAAATGTGATCTTATGTGAAAAGTAAAGTTTGCGAATAGTTTTTATTTGTTCATCTTAAAGTATATTGTATTAGCTATGATTCAATGTCGTATAAAAAAATCAATTATTTTTAAATATTATTAAAAATTATGGAAAAATAAATATTATAAGTTATTAAGCTTTCCTCCTTATACTTTTGATAAAAATTGGATTTAAAAAAAAAAGTATGTCATCGGCTAGGTAAATATCTAAAGTATTGTCTGTAAAAAATTATGATCCTTAATGATGTAATAACTATTCCCAGTTTTTATTATAAATTAAAGTCTAAAAATCAATATCAATTATTTTATAACAATTGTTATACTTTGGGATATTTCCCTTTATTACTGGGTTTGAGGAGAATTTTTCAAAATTATGTCACTTATAACTTCAACAAATACGTTATGTGATCGCGTACCTTATTTTTGAGTAAAATTGTTCCACTAGGAATTGATTAGTTTGGTCTAATGAAACATACAAAAAAAGAACATGGCAGAGTATAATCAATAACTTTTCAGTGTCGCATCTAAGTCTATAGCAATATAAAAGTTTTTTAACTAAAATTTGTAATTTCTCCTATAGTAAATTTCTACTTTATCTAACTTGTGCTACCAAATAGAATGTAAGGTATGATCCATAACTTTTTGAATTTATTAAGTTAGATTTAAAAAATAGAAGTGTACATTTTATGATTTAATAACATTGTATAATAATATTTTTTAGGACAAACATGGTAACACTCCAATGCATCTGGCCATCGTTCAGCCGGATATTTCATGGAATTGTATATTAGATCTTATCGAATTTGGCGGTAAAATTTGCTTAAAGAATTCTACAAATATTAGTCCATCGGATATTGTGGAGTGTTTGTTGAAAATACAAGTGTACATGATAGAAGATTGTTGGAAGAGCCTAACAGGTTCGGTGAATATAACTCAAGGTATTTTTATTGTAATTTTTAAATTATTATTATTATTTTTCTTTTTTTACAAAAAAACTGTAAGGAACTTACAAAAATTTATTTACAGAGTGATTCCTTAAATTTCTCTCGTGAGATATCATAGAAAATATTAGAGCTAATCATTATTTTATTTTTTAACAATAATGAATCAATAAAACAGCTGTATCTCGTTAAAAATAATATATATATTTTTAATTAAATAAATATAATGACAAAAAAACCTAGCACAGTGGGGATATAGCATAGTTGGGTCAAGTATAATAATATCTGACAGTAATTAGCATCACTATCATCAAAAAGCACTTCGATGCATATCTGTAGATAGTGTTTAATTTTAAAAAATTGATGGATTATTCCAAAAGCTATATGATCTCCTATTTCCTTATTTATATCCTGATTGCAAGTTTTATGATTTATAAGTGTAATACATGAATAAATAAATATCTATATATATTTATAATATATAAATATATAAAAGGAAATAGTGTTATTTAAAAAAAAAAGTATGTGGAATGAAAAAGGGATATAAATACTACTTCTCATGAAAAAATTGTATTGATCCATACATTTTTGAAAAAGTTATAGCATTTTAAAGTAAAAAATGTAAAATATAGAATCGATAATTTTCACACAAAAATAGCATTTGGTAGCCATTTTCACTGTTAAGACAAAATAAAGTCCGAATTTTTTTTTTCCATAATAAAGTACATTACATTAGCTTTAATTAAGATATATATAAAAGTGTCAGATTTTCCGGAACACTTTAAGTTGAAAATGTTAATTTTTTGTGAAAAATTTGTCATTTTGAATCCCCCCCTGTGGGCAGGTAAAGGGTGAAATTTATAAAAAAAATATATTGATATAATCATTATTGAAAAAGTTATGGCAGTTTTAAATAAAAAATTCCGAAAATAAACGATTTTTAAATTTGTAATTTTTTGGAGATTTCTCCCATTTACAGGGAACGAGGGAAAATGTTTCAATTTTTGAAAGTAATGTCTTCGACTAGATACGATTTGTGATATTTTGACGTATCGTTGAAAGAAATCGGTTCGGTGAGAGCTGAGAAAAAGTGGTAACAGACAGAAAAAAAAATTAATTAATAAATAAATAAACATCATAGTAAAATTAATAACTGCTCAGCTTCTCATCAAAGCTAAAAAAATTTGGTAGATATTTGCTAATTGAAAGTTAATACTAGTAGTTTAGGTTAGGATAGCAGCAAAAATTGTATTTTTCGCGTAAAGCAGCTCAACAAAAACCCCTTATGACTAAAAAGAAATAATAACAATAATGATTGGCTTTTATATTATTTGTGATCCACAATTAAAAAATCACTTTGTATCACAAAATTGTTCTATTTCATAAATATTTTGTTATAGTAAACTTAAATATAAAGATAACCCTAAAATGATTATCAATTAAAATTAATTTAAAATTTTTCAAGGATTATAAAAACTATTTAAAAATTTACCGCTAAATTTTATAGTCTATCAAAAGACGTATTGCAATATTTTTCATCATTTATCTTAAAGTTTTGGTTTGTAGTAAAAAATTATATAATAATTAAATACTATCAATGTTTAATTGATATATTTAATTTTGGGTTGTTTAAAGAACCTCTACGACGTCAAAACAACAATAATTCATATAATACAAGTAATGAACAGACAGGAAAATCAATAGATTTACCTACATTGCCGTCTAGATTATTTCGAAGAATGAAATTTACCCAAACAGAAAGTGCTGACGAACCACAAAGTAATACTGAAGACTTTTTTGGATCCATTTGGTCGCTTAAAAGTAGAATAAGTAACAAGAGTCCCGATGCGGTAAGAATTTTTAATTTGAAACTTGTCCTTACAAAGTTAAAAAGATATAATATCGATTTTCAATTACCAAAAAAACTCTTTAACCCAATTATGTATATAAATATATATATATACAATTATATTATTAGAAGTAATTTTTTTTATTTTTTTTATTTTTATTTATTTTTTTTTTTATTTATTTTTTATTTTTTTATTTTTATTTTTAGTAATT